TGTGTGTATGTATGTGTGTATGTGTATATATGCGTGTATGTGTGTATGTGTATATATGCGTGTATGTGTGTATGTGTATATATGCGTGTATGTGTGTATGTGTATGTGTATGTATGCGTGTATGTATGCGTGTATGTGTGTATGTATATATGTGTGTGTGTGTGTATGTATGTATATATGTTTTTGTGTGTGTATATGTGTGTATATATATATATATATATACACATATATATGTATATATGTGTGTATATATATATATATATATATACACGTATATATGTATATATGTGTGTATATATATACACGTATATATGTATATATGTGTGTATATATGTATATATGTGTGTATATATATACACGTATATATGTATATATATACACGTATATATGTATATGTGTATGTATGTATTTAATAATAATAATGTATATTTCATAATAACACAAACAGGAGCAGGTAGATTGAGAATACACCTGTCGTGTAGACACAATAGAGTTTGTGTTAGTCAGCAATAAATGACACTGTCAACAGACAACATAGCAGAAGGTACAGCAACACCTTCTGGACACAATTCTCACAGAATGCACAGAATCTGGAAATCATTGGAGGCTCCAGGAAAAACCGCGACCGAGCGAGGCTTAATTATAATGCAGCTTAATAATTCATTTAATATAGTCAATGATAATAACACAGAAGGCATGGTTCAAAAAGTTTATTTTGAAATAAAATGAATCCCATAAAGCCATCACACTCTTTAATACGCTCCACAATCGGTAAGATAGTGGTAATGTAATCTGATTATTTCAAAGCCCTGGTACTGACGAGCATTCTTTTGTGGAGAAATAGCAGTTTTCCACCAGTCTCAAGGGTACATCTTTGAATCCAACACAGACCTTTGACCTTTGTGGAGGAGGTTACGGGAAACCAGAGTTTCACCGCGGAGATCAAAAAAGGGAATCACATTGTTAATAGTATCTACATCATTAACCGTTTCAAATCGATGTGTGTGTATAAAGGAGTCACTGTCGGAAATGTAGGCAAGGTGCTGCCCTCTTTGAGAAAGAGCTCCAAACCCTCTGCATAAATCTGAATTAAAAGAAGCGAGGAGACGGCCAACTCTGTGCTCTCAAGTCCGTTCATCAGCAGAAAACTGTGATTTAAAATCTTGTGTTTGAACATTTTACTCCCAGGATGTTTGATCCTAACTCTCCACTTTACTCAAGTCCTCATTCACATCTATTGAATTAAGTTTTTCACAGTTATATAGTCTTAAAAAGTTTGTCTAGTATGTGTTTCTATGACACGAGCCAATGTTTTAAAAAAACAAAAAAATCCAAAACAATAATTAAATTTCCTGAACTGTTAACGCTCAAACAGCAGCGGCAGCAAACTCGGTTACCTTTTACATCGTCCAAAAGCGAAACCATGAAATGATCCTGTTATCGTGTTAAAGCTTCAGCATCCTTCCGCTGGGTCTATTGCCTCTCAGACAAATAGACCTCGCTCCGGCTTTTCACTGTCTGTAAGGACGTGTCAGAATGGATATACCCTGCTGTGGCTGCTGCTCTTTTCACCCCCACAGCCTGCGAGGACCGAAACAGAGCTCTACTGTGCCTCGGCGGACATTGAAATTCCCCCGACGTTTGTACAGTGAATTCCATTTCCTAGCCCTTTTGATTCATACTTTTTCCCCCCTTCTCTCTTTTTTGCTGTGAAGTAGCTTTTTGTCCCCTGTTTGAACCTCGGTGAAGAATTACTCTGGCAAATGGGGGTTGGGGGGGTCAGACAAAATGGGGTGAAATGAATGACTCGAGAAGGAGGGAAAACTGTGAAGAATAACGGCGCGCAATGATTAAGGAAACGCATTAAATAAGGTCTCTATATAAACGAGGGCGACTCCTGTCGAGGAGTTACGAGTAATGAGCTGTTTACATGAGTGCAAATAGAAATTCACACTTCTTAAAGTGGTTTAAACTGATTTGAATTGCAACAACTGATGATGTGTCTGAACATATTTATTTAATTGACATTTAAAAAAGTCTAACCTATTAGATGAGTCTCTAAAACACTATTTTTTGCTTATTTTTACTTCTGCATTAGCTGTAATCCCTGCTTGCTGTTGGTCAACGCATAATTAATCATCTAATTAGTGGCTAAAAAAAAAGGAAGTGAAGGTCAATATGCCGCATTGGACCTGACACTCCTTTCCAGCTCCCTACAGTCTGGCCGCTCAATGTCTCTATAGCCGATCGAAGCTCAGAACAGCTTGTTCTCATCGCAGTGAGGCTCATCTAGACTGTATGCGGGGTTGTGGATTAGTGGATGAAAGAATGCCACTGACTGTGAAATTGCCTGATTTTTATCGGGGATGTTGGGGAGCAGCTGTGCACAATCCTCTGCCCTAATCCAGGGGTCGGAGAAAGGACCGAGAAGGAAGGGGAGGTGTGTGTGTGTGTGTGTGTGTGTGTGTGTGTGCGCTAAGGTGCACAATGGAGAAGTTCTGAGTGGTTGTGTTAATGCATGCTCCTTCTAGTTCTCCCTGATAGGTTGTCCCAGTGTTTGTACTCTCATGAGTGTTTTTTGCGGCAGTGTGGAACCAGCGGCGTCGCAGTGATGCAGGAAGGATTCAGCAGGAAGGATTCAGCAGATGACTGAGGCGAAAGCTTGGCTTTTTTCATGTTTCAATTGGTCGAGGCCATCACCAGTTAAGAACTGTGTCATAACAGTATTATTGATGCGTTGACTGTGTAATCCTGTCTCTCCACTATCTGGCCAAGCCTGCTGCTGGAATAGAGGGGGGAAAAAGAAATCCAACAGGGAAGTTTGTAAAGGTTTCAACAGAATTTTCAATTCTTCCATTCACTGTTGAAGGGAAACTAAAAGCTGCACTTATGGGTGTACTTATGTTTCAAATGTGTAATATGAAAGAGGTAGTTCATAGTGACTGACCCAAAGACAATTATCACCCAGCTCTCCAGTTATCCTCAGGTTTTAGCATCTGTCAGCTTATTGTTTTGGGTGTTAGCAGACCCGCTAATTTACTGTTTTGGTTCAGCCTCACTGCCCTCATCAGCATCGTTTACAGACACAGAAAGCACACTGAAGGGTAGACAGAGGAAGTTGGCAACCAGCTGGTTAACATTGGTGAGCATTTGACTGCCAGAGAGACAAATATATTTCTCAGGAGTTAGTGGAGACCAAGAAACTAAAGCTAAAAGAGTGGATATTGGACTACTTCAAATGAATGCTAATGTAGTCATTTCTGGATGTGTAAATAGTCAACTCGTTTTTAAAATGTTCGCCATGTCAACATTATACAGTGATTTGATGTCAATATTTCTTTGCAGCTTGGTCTTTTGCCTTCAAGAGGCAAAAAACTGTGTTGAAGAAAAACCTTTGAAGATAATACACCCTTCGCAAAGCTTATTACCATAACCTTTAAGATTTATTTGTCGTAAAATGTGAGAAAATATAGATAGAAAAGTCTCACAAAATGAAAATATTGTACCTACAGTACTTTTCAACAGGCAAACACATTCACTGGGTAGAAAGAGTCAGTTTGCTCAACCAAATGATATCCTAATTATAGTTTGGATGCGGATATACAGTACGGGGTTTTGAAAGACAGTGAATCTTTGATCCCTCGTCTTTGATGTGGCGCTGCCCGCATATAGAAGCATGTTTTGTGTGGGCGACACATGCCCACGAAGCGCTCAGTCTCTCTGCGACTGGGGGGAATCTTTCCTTGCGGCGACGCTCGGATGTTTGTACGCAGGATGAATCGAGGCCCATCTCGGCGGCCGTGCCTGACGCACACGCTGAAACGCACTCAGCAGGTGACAGGCAAACATATGCCTCAAATGCCATGGGGTCCTGAAGCCGGATCATCTCCAAAGGCTAACTGGCAGGTCTAAGTAGGGACGGCATTAATACATATTATTCACAAAGAGCATGATTGAACAGAAAAATGTGCCCGGCGTGTACCCAGCTGCTTTGTTGGCACGTACTCTGCCTGGGCTTCAAGACTGCGCTTGGATTTAGCCATGCATTCACTGAATTCCCCATGCAGCTCTTATTCATTCATTCAGGCACAGGCTGGGCTGCACCAACAAACTGGTGTCTGTCTGTGTGTGTGTGTGTGTGTGTGTGTGTGTGTGTGTGTGTGTGTGTGTGTGTGTGTGTGTGTGTGTCAGTCAGTGTGTCAGACTATGTGCATTTGTGCCAATGCCTGAATAGTTTGGTAAATCACAGCAAATTTTTTGACAAGTATATACAGGAAGCGTTTATTATTCAGTAATTCAATGGATGTGATTTAAAAAGGCCTCTTTGCGCTTTTTAAAATAGATTATTCTAAAGCCGTTTGTCACACACAGATGCCTGCACTGTGGCAGCTGAACAGAACGAGTTTCCCAGGAAAATTAAGCCTTTGACCTTTAATTTTACAGTCACTTTCTGTTACAGCACCCCTCTGTGGATGTTTCTGTTCATCCCAGTGAGCTGAGTTGTATCGGTTTTACAGTTTTCATTTTATTTCATTATATTTAATGAGCAGATTCGATTTGACATGTCTTGGCTGATGCAAACCAATCTGTTGCTGATCTGTTTATGTTCATAAACATGTATGGATAGTTTTTTTGTTTTTTTTTTAACCATAGCTTGTCTCTAAGCCATCAGTAGGTCAGCAGGTGCTTCTGGGTTTGACAGATGTCTTTGGTTGCTTCACACAGTGAGTGTGATGGATATATTTAAAGAGACAGCGCCCTCTAGAGGCAAAGGTTTGAAGGGTTTTTAGGCTAACGCTTGCTGGGATATTGATCCACAGACCCATGAAAACATATTACACTTTTTACACTGTTTTTAACCCTTTTTTATTTAATTTACTTGTTCACTGTGCATGAAAAGTTAACAAAGTTATTACAATATTAGTCGCTGAATTATTGACAATATGGTGACATTGAATTCAACATATAATAAATAGTCTAATTAATTTAAGTGTAACTTTCAAAATTAATACGATTTTTGTTGACGTGGAAAAATTTCATGCGACATTTTACAAAATTAAGAAATTGATTCTGAAGATGTACATTTGCTTACAAAGGTAACACATATTGTACATTACTGATGAACAAACAGTAGGAAATATATAAAAGAAAGTCTGTCATTACTCTCCTGTTGCTTTGAAAAACAACTCTTTGTAAATATGTGGTGAAACATCTGGTGGGAGAATAGAGTCGCTGTAGAGTGATGATGGGGCCTGCAAATATGAAAAAAATGTGACAATTTATAAGCTTGAATAAATGTGAAATTTAGCTGAAATTATAAATCGAAAACTAGGGTCATTGATTTTAGTCTTACCTTCACCATTTATCACCTTTCGAGAACAAACTCGGCTGCGAAACAATTCAGATGGACACTTGTTACTGGTTTGTTCGGCATTAATGTCTGTTTACTATAACTTCATGACCGTTTCAACTCCAGTGACATTCAGTATCACGTGAACTTAACACATTTATGCCAAGCTAAAGCAAACTCACAAGCTGTCCTTTAAGTGGCTTGCTGTAACATTCAGACTCAGCTGTTTGGCTTCCCCTTCGACTTCCACTCACTGTAACACCTGGAGGGAAAGGATCCAATATGCACAGCTGAACAGAGAATTGTTCAGTAGAAGAAAATAAAAAAAACTCCCATTTAGTGCAAGTGAAACTCACTCGATCAAAACAGGGCACTTGGGATTTGATTAAATAACACTTCGCCGAGGATTAATCCCCCACCACTGCAACTGGGACTGGGGAAACTACAAAGGCATGCAAGCACGGGTTTTTCCTCCATGCACACAGAGATACAGTTTTAAAGACTCACTTGGCGTGTGATGAACGATGTTGATTTTATCTGGTGGGGAGAGAAGAGTTTCTGAGCCATTTACGGTATACAGTTTAACACTGTAAGGGGGCTACTTGCTCCAGCTTTAACGGCGCTGCATATTATTTATTTTGAAGTTCCAGGAAAGCTTGCAGCTCTGTGGAGCCTCACTGTGATGACAGCGGAACTTAAAGCCCTCACATCCAGGAAAGAGGAATATTTACCATAGACACTGTCGCCGTCCTCTCTGCTGTTGACTGTTCTGGCTCTCAGATCCCTAAACGTCTCCTGCGGAGACAAAGATCAGTGCTTTGAGTATTAGACAGACACACATCCACTTACTGTATTTAAAATGAGATTTCCATGATGTGTTTCCACAGGCTGAGAAAAGGAATCGATCAAAGTTTTGCAGTTTGCTCATAAATCTTTTGGTACCTTCATGGAGGTCTGCTGGAAAACATTTAATCCCACTAACATTCACATATTATTTATACACAGTAGACCAATAGATCTGGTGATTTATCAGACTCAGATTTTAAATTGTCGCATTTAGATATAAAGAGACATTTCCCTTCGTAACTTCCCACATTTGTTTTCTTTTTTAAATCCCAAAGAGGTTAAATAATCAATATTGCACAAACACTGCAATGACAAAAGTTAAAAGTCCTAAATATCAATGCAAAACAAATAATTTGTTCTTCTGTCCTCTCCCGTTAGTCATCTTATATCTTCATCTTATAACTCTTAGGAAGGGTCCAATCCTTAAACGTGGGAACCACTGGATACAATTTTCCTTTTTAGCCATCAAACAGAAGCTCAAAACAGTGCCACGCCGCCCACGCCTTTAATCACATGTTCCCTTCTTGCACTGTGAAAGTACCGAGTGCAAGACAACCAGCGGTAAGTGGCTCTTAATCACTATCTCTCCTCTCTGTGGAGCCATCGCTGTGTTTACCTGAACAGCCCTTTGCTTTCCTCTAAGGTAGACGCTTGCTTGTACTCGTGCTCTCCTGTGAGTAGATTGTTTGCAGCTTGGCATGGCATGAGCAACAGATGGTTATAGTTTTATTCGGGTTTTGTTCCCGGCTATTGCTCATTCATTCCAAGTCACATGTGTGGGTGCGATCACAGTGTGCGATAGTCCCATATACCTGCTGGACGGCGTCCATGCCCTTCTGAGCCCGCTGCCACTCGCTGAAGCGCTCCAGGGCCCCGTCCACAGTGAGTGAACCGGCCTTCACCCTCTGCTGGAGCTCGATGAGCTGCTGCTGCAGCCCGTTTGTCTGGTTTGGCACAAAGGTATCGTAGGTGGAGGAGATGCTGTCCTCCCGCCCGCGTGCAGCAACTCAATACAAATGTCATAAAAAGAAATATAAAACATCTGGTGTAAAACACAAAGCAATCACCACACAAGTGGGGACAAGTTAACGAGCAAGATCTCAAATGTAACGTCAGAAATTGAACAGTTCTTTTTTTTTTTTTGTGACAGAAACAAGACAAGCAAGGGCATAAAGCCACTCCAGATGGCATTCATAGCGGGGACTTGCTGATAGTGGGATTTTGCTCTCCACATCTGTAATGTCGACGGCAGGTAATGTTCCGGGTGACTGTGATGATCTTTGGACCCGTCACTCAGTGCCACCAACATTACAGCAGAGCAGAAGAAATGGCTTTGTATCTCAGGTGCTCAATAGCAGAAGCAGCTCTTTTTTTACGCTTTGATTAGTATTTATTTTGTACATACATAAATACATATTATGTAAGAACCCGGGCAGGTAATTCCACCAGGTTGTCAATCATAAGAGAGAAGTCAGCTCGACTCATTGGCACGGTAAAAGTCCTGCTGTTACCAGGATAACATTTACAATCTGCACATCTCAAAGTCAGAATACAAATTGAGCCCAGAAAGGAGAAGTTAATTATTTTTTGGAGACAGTGCAAACAGAAATGCATGGCAACTGCCTACTGTACTGTAGCTGAAGGGCGCCTTGTATATTTGATCCAAAATGATGGCTGCGACTGTCTTTTTGGTAGTGAATGATGAAGAGTGGTGATTAAAGTGTCTGTGCATTAATATGCAGATTAAAACTCCTAGTGGTTAAGACACAAACCGTAATGTCCACCTTTTGCTGCCGTCATACCCGGCTCTATTTCCGTCTACCTCTCAACTGTACCCTGTCATATAAAAGGTATTTATCATATAATTGCCAAAAAATGTATCTTACAAAAGTCAAGAAAACCTCTTTTGAAGTTCTTACAAAAAGATTCTGTCGATTGTTTTTGAAGCTTTGGTCATTTTAGAGACTAAAAGTCAGGAGACATCTGTTGTGATATAGACTATTCTTGTTGTAATCTGTCCCTTGTGAGCTCCACAACTTCATGGAGGTGCGATACGACATTGCTGGAGTGACTCTTTGATTGATCACCTGACACTCACCTTGTTTAGTGGGAAGTGAATACAGATCAGCGTCGCGCTGCGGTGTCTTCTTCTGCTGGAACACTGTAAAACACATGAGCAGCTCACAATAACTAATATTACAAAATGTAACGGAACATTCAACTTTTACAAAAGGAGAATTTTCTTGTTGACATCACCCTCACTGAATACATTGCCAGGCTCAAGCCGGAGCTGATTTTACAAATTCCTACAAAAGACTTGCGTGCCTACATTTGAACAATTCCTCCACGAGATGGCGCCACAGCCTTAAATTTACAACCTATTGAGTGGATTGCTAAATCTGAAGAGCCAGCAGAAAACAAACATCCCATCAATCTAAATGTTTCAGAAAAAGACCAATGCAATTTAATCTAAAAGAAATTACATTTATCCTTGTTTTTCATTCCAGAGCTTAAATTTGTTTCTCTCAGAGAAAGACACTCATTCAGCTCTGGATTGAACTAAATGCCCCTGAATGATGCTTTTTGGTTTGGTTGTGAGCTCTCAGTATGAAAGGCTACTCTGTTTAGCTCTCAGGAGGGCGGAGGAGCTGCGGCTGTGTGACCAACACTGGATTAAAATTCACCATCCACACCCTGAAAGATAATCCCCACCTCTGACCATTTCCTCCATGACGGCGTCTCTCCTTTCCAATTCATGTTCGAGCACGGCTTGCTCACCACACAAGCCTGGCTTTGTGGCTCAATTCCGAAGTGAAACTGTGTGGAGCACAGCTGAGGGGCAGATCCACATGACTGTAGCGTGTACATTACTCTCAGTGTAGTTTACAAGCAGAGTAATTCCACTCTGTGAGATTGAATTTGATTCACATTTCAGCATTTTAGTCTCATTGAGCTGGAGACGCTGCTCACAACAGAACCCCCCCCCCCCCTGATTATTTCCACTTGCGCAGTGGTCTCCAATAACTGGCTCCTCGCCTAATCCTCCACCGAGCCTCATCTCTACTCTCGCATTCTCTGTGGCAGCGGGAGTGAGGAGCAAAATGTGATCCTCGTGCAATTTCTGAAGCTTCACCGTCTCAATGGATGGAAACCCCAAAATCCCTCTCCTCACTCCCTCGTGCACTCTGGGGACAAGGACGATGGAAAACATGTGTAATGACTTATTCTGGATGACTTGGCCTTGGTCTGGCCAAGATTGGTTGCAGATGGCAGCACGGTAGTTCCTTCTCTGTTACTGAGGGGATGGTTGGGATGCAGGGAGTTCAGTGGTGCACTGTTTCTTCTTTTTTTGCTTTGTCGGCCCCATCGGGAAGAATAAACTGCATGATGGAGATGGGGCACTTACGTCATTAAAATCATGTTTGTGTGTTTTTGAATATGCAAGTGATGGTTAGTGGGGGACGAGCGTAATATCTGTGGGAATAACAATTCATTGTCGAAGCATGTGTGTATGTTTTGTATTTGCAAGATGTAAGAGAGAGAAGTCGCACCTGTTTTAATGATTCATAAGCCTTAATAATACCACTCACTTTTGGATGTTTCATCTTCATGAAATATTCACGCAGCTGAAATTGAACAGTTAGAATGTGAGCTTTCTCTGTGGGGGGGGGGGGAGTGTTAAGTTGTGGTTTACGGGATCAAAACAAACTACGTTGCAAAAAAAAGCATATCTGGCAATGCACATTCCAGGCACTTCCTCCCTCCCACATGCTCTCCCAAACTCCCCCTTCACATACTGTGCATGACTCGGTGGTGTTGTTTTTTTTACTCCAAATCAGCTCCATCATGTCCTGTGATTTGGAAGAAAACGGGGGCAAAGGATTGCAACACAAGACTCATAAGTTACCTTTAATGATGTAAGGGGTTCTGTCCTCCACGTGGGTGATCTCGGGCCGAGGCGTGGGCGCTGGTGGGCGACTGGCAATGACCACGGCTTTTGTGGAGTTCAGGATGGTGTCGTATTCATCACTCGCCCCCAGCGGTGCATAGATATCCTCATCCTCCCCCTCTCCGTGCTCTTCTTGTGGATATGCGGTGGAAGGAGTCCCTAATGCACAAAGTGTTTACAGCACTGTTGCCTGAGTGTGACGATGGAGTTCTGCATGCTGATTTTGCTACCGTTTACAGCTACATCGAAGGCAAGGCTCTACACGCTGTGCCCATCGGCAAGGGGGGGAAAATATTCAGTGCTCGGAAATGAACAGCAACTCGGCATACAGATGTGATGGGACAGAACAAACACCATTACCAGCTTTCCTTTGTCCTCCCACTCACCTGCAGCGCACATCCTTTCGTACAAACCGGCATCCCCATCCCCATCGTCCTCGTCTGAGCCGAACATATTCTGCAATAACAGAGCATGAAGAGATGTGTTTTGTGCTTCTTCCAAATCACAAAGAAGCGGCTCAATAGAGGCAATTTAGAATTCAAGTTAACCCGTTGGACATGTCTAATACCACATAGGTCACACCATAGGCTGATATCTGCCTCCATGCCATGCTTTATTATGCAGTTTTCTCATGTCAGTTTGTGACAAACGTCGAGACTGTTAATTGAGGTTTCCCACCGCAATTTTAGAGCTATCGCAGGAATTGGAGAGGTGGCTGTAAATTACCTCGCCATGCTGCTGGATAACAGAGAGCAGTGTTCCCTCTGACAGCAAAAAGCTGCTGCAGAGTCGGCCTATCTGCTAATAGCATGCTGAGGGACAGACATGGGCTATGATCAGGGTAATTATGAAATCAGACAAATCTTCCCCTTTCAGTCCAAACATATCATTTAGTGAGCAATTCAAGGCCCGTGGCTTGATATTTAGACTGCATCCGTAATTAGATTGTGGTAGGGCTCTCAATTAACTGCTGCATTTCAACTTCTGACAGGAATGTGAAGAACTGAAGAGTTGCATCATCATTTTGAAATTACGAGTGAAAAGCTGCTTTCTTAGAGATTTTTTTTTTTTCCACATAGGAACCATTAAGGAAATGCAATAAATGCTATTTCACAACATAACACTTTTTTGGACTAATCACTACAGTGTACACTTTATGTATTTTGAATCAAGTTAACTATAATTACAACGTATTAATGAGTATATATATATATGTGTATATATGTGTATATATATGTATATATATGTGTGTGTATATATATGTATATATATGTGTGTGTATATATATGTATATATATGTGTATATATATATATGTATATATATGTGTATATATATATATGTATATATATGTGTATATATATATATGTATATATATGTGTGTATATATATGTGTATATATATAT